AATGTCAGGTGTTTTGACCTTTACCGAATCAAAGGCCCTGTTCATCCGGTGTGAGTACTCCATCACACTCTCCGCCATTCTCTGCCTTAAGCCTACGAACCCTGCTAGCAGTTGCGATCCCGACCGTCTCTCCCCAAAGGTCTCCATAATCAGATCCAGCACCTTATCCGGATCTGATTGGATGGTTTTATCATGGCATTTGACCTCTGCCCTAACCGTCTCTCCTATACTGCCCATCAGCAGTCTTAATCTGTCCTCTGGTGACATGCCTCTCGAGGCCCAGGCCGCTTTGACCTCTTCACTGAACCTGTTGGTTAAAGTTGGATCACCGTCCCCGTAAAATTTGTTAATGTGGGACTCTCTGGGTAGGACCACTATATGGGTCTGCTTCTCGTCCAGAGTAGACATTGTATTCCGTAAGTAAAACAAAAGAGTTCTTTCTTACCGTGTGTGTATGAAAAAAATTTTCCTCGTTCCTCAATTTTCACAGTTCCTGAATGTCCGAATTCACACACACACTAAACACAGTTATGCACAAGGTTGACTATGGGTGCCTAAAGCGGCAAGTCTAGTTGAATTCATCCTGTCCGACGACGCCAATTGTAACGAGCGAACAGTTACCCTGCTCGCAACGCCACATGTTACGAGACTATTTGCCTGTAGTGCCAAATGTAACGAGTTTAACCACTCATGCTACACAACATCGACTACAGTAGAAAGACTCGAAGATGCAGGTTCGCTATTGATCCTTTTATTACATGAATCAAGAAATGCTTCAATATAACACAATGAATCAACAGGAATGCTTCACAATAATAGTCTGAATCAACTGACCCCTAACAGTCCTCACTAGGCTTCATATAACTGAATCCACATGTCTATTGTCCTTCTTAACACAATATAACCAACTTGATATGTCACACAGACTGACTGATCTAAAGCGAGCGATCGAAAAGGGAAGAGCTGCGAGTTCAGTCGTCCCCTCCTATTTATCCCTTGTATTCGTACTCGTCTTCGTACTTGTATTCCTCCGTAATCGATACTTGTACTCGATGTCTCCGACTACTAGTTGCGCAGTTCTAACGTACAGTCCGTTTAATAAACATCTGCATCCTATCAATCAAAGTTGACAGGCCGTCTGAATCCCCTCGTACCGTTTCCCAAAATAGCACGCGTTGGCTTTGAGATTGTTATCAGTCCGATCTAATAAGCCACCTGCTATCGGTTGCATCAGACTGTAATACTGCGTCTCGGCTTATCGTTCGTTATCAGATTTGTAACTAGTAGCTAGGCCTACCCTAGTTACATATATATATATATATATATATATATATATATATATATATATATATATATATATATAGATATATATATATATATATATATATATATATATATATATATATATATATATATATATATATATATATATATATATATAGATATAGATATATATATATATATATATATATACATATATATATATATGGAAAACAAAGGTCGCACTAAATTTTAAAAGAAAAATGTATCCGGTACCCGAATAAATCAGAGGTTTTCCAACACACGAGCTGGCCCCATTCAGTTTTCCATGTGAGAAGCACGGACTCTCTAAATCTAGTACAACACTCCAAACTGACGCCGGTTTTTATGAGGCTTTCATCAAAACGTTACCAACCGTGTGCCCTGTTTTCCAGAAGTTGAATTAAATGTTTCTTGGATCTTAGGGCGCGGGTTTCTCCACACTACCAACTAGACACGCCAAGGCATGCTGTAAGTCCTTCGGCGACGACCCAGGTGTCAGGGGAGTCACGGGGCTCTTGGAGCTACCGGTTACATTACTGCACGGGTGATGGGTGCAACACATTGTTTCTTCCGGCAGAGCTCCCCCTCCCCCACCCCTCCTCCGAAAACAGTCTACCTAGGAAGAAACATTGGTGCGACACCTAATTAGATTTAGTCATCGAGTGTTGTAGCGAGACTTATTCCTAGTGTTGTGGGAACTTTTAAACGACTGTCTGTGGGGGGCCAACTTGCTCATATGTGATGCGCTCAGGATGACACTGACGCCGGTTGTATTCAAGTAGTAACCTCATCCGTTTATGCAGGATCACGGGGCGCTAAATCACATATTTCCGTTAGGAGTCCCCACTCCAATATGTACAAATGTTAGGCCTATGACAGAAACTTTTGCGGGGCTGTACTCAACAGCTTCCCAAGTTTTCATGGCGATTGGGTGAATGATGCAGTAATGCAAAATAGACAGAAAAATGTTTTTCACATGTACAACTGTATGTGGCCAGGTCACGCGTTGGATAACCTTCTGATTTAGGGGAGGGGGGGGATTAACAAAAAGCCAGACCCTCACACACCCCCACCTCAATGACGTCATTTATAAATAGTAATTGACTATTAATAATGTTCAATTAATTCTAAACGTAATTAATTTCTAAATAATTATATAAAAATAATCTTACCTGCCCTGTTTTGTGAATTAGATGTGCCTAATACTATGAAAGTAAATTAGTATCTGTTGACTAGATCTAGATCTAGATCTAGTGCTGTCTAGTGTCTGACAAAATGTGCTGAAGTGTTGAATCGTACGGTTAGGAAGTAGTTCATAAACGATACATTTATCTCCTCGATACTTGTGAGGTTGAGAAAGAGGGGTGGGATAGGGGTCGGCTCGGGAAAAAAACTTGAAAGCGACATCAAAACGCCTTGATCTATGTACGTCAGCATCGCCCATTGTAAAACTTACTCAGGGGAGATTATTCCAAGTATAGACTTTAAAAGTTTACTATGATATTTCTCGTAAAAGCAAAAACAAGTAACCGTATATAAAACTGAAGTTTCTAGTATAGTATTATATTATTTTTTTATTATTTGTAGGATGCAAGATACAAATTCAACCACTATCACAAACACATTAACATTGAAAAATGTACAAAGGATTTCGGGTCCCTTACCAATGCCGCAAAGACGAAAGCCCACTTCATATGTAGCGGCTTTTCGTGCTATGGACTTTGTTGTTTTTTAAAAAGAATTTTGCCGACGACAGCGTGTGTTTGATTGTAGGGAAATAGAACTCGGCCTTGACAATGGTTAAAAAATACAACTATAAATAACTGTTTAAAATATGTAAAAAAAAATTCGACAATTTTTGAACCCCCTTTTTGGTCCCCATCCCCTGCCTAATCCGCGACAGTACACTTTGGAGGATCGGTTAAACAGTTACGTGTCCTCTATTTAGCTATTAAAGAGGTGGGGGGGCAACGAGTCAAAGAAGTCATTCAAATTTGAAGAGTTGCCTATATTTTACACTGTAGTTTGTGTAATGGATTTTATCTGTTGCGGAAGAGCGTGGTATAGTGACTGTAAAATAAAGATAATCGTACCGCAGCTAGTGTTTTTCTTTTACAAACCAAATATTAAGGCAAAAATGCACGAAAATTAAATTCAAAATTTAAAAAAATATTAATTTTGGTCAGCCGTGGGCCCCTAAACGGCCTGCCCCCCCCCCCCCCCGCGCATTGCGGGGTCTGGCGGGACTGTAGTTCCGTCGCTGTTCATCAGGTAAAGGAACAACTACTGACTAGTGTCTTTAACAAAATGTGCAGGAGTGGTCAGTTTACAGTTCAGTAGTTCATAGACGGTTCGTTAATCTATGCATTACATCTTATTGTAAGAGTAAGGGTGTGGTGAGGGGTAGAGGTGAGGGGTAGGGGTGAGAGGGGGCAGGGGAGAGAGTTGGGAAGGTTCATTGGAAGGGGACAAGAAAGCGCCGATGAACATCTACATCAATAGTGCCGACCAGTGTTTCTTCCAGACTTTTTTCTCCGGGGGGGCACTTGAAATCTTCGGGGGGCCGGTAAACTTTCTTCGGGGGGGCGGACACTGTTAAAAGTATATATTTTCTATATAAATTATATAAATTTCATTTCGTTCGGGGGGGCGGTAAAAAATTTTCGGGGGGGCTTCGCCCCCCCGAAGAGATGCCTGGAAGAAACTCTGGTGCCGACTTTTTCCGGTCGTCTAGAAGACCAGGATAGTCGCCGCAACATTTCCCCAGCCCGATTTCAAAGCGTGCCGGCACAGTCAAATTTTAGATGCTTCGCTGAAGGGAGATAACTTAAACTTTTACAAGTTTATTGATACAGTTGTTAAAGTAAAAATGAACGCAATTATAAATGTACGAGATCGAAATAAATAATTATATTTTTTGTAGAATTCAGGCCAGTAGTTTAAACACACAATCATAGATATGTATTTTAATAATGTAAACAATATAACAATGCTTTTTTGTTCTCCTAGTCGACGCCACTAAAAAGAACGGTAGGCTGCGTCTTTGAAGTTGACTTTATGTCTGGCGGTCTCTCGAGCTATAGTCTGTGCATTTTTATCAAAGACGTTTGCCGACTATCGTGTTTGTTTGTAACTGTAGAAGAAAGATAACTCGACCTCCACCTAATTTTTTTTTTTTAATTTTTTTTTTTAAATAATTTAGCCAGGATTTTTGGGCCCCCAATCGGTCTGGGCCCCCCCGCATTGCGGGGTCTGGCGGCACTGTAGTTCCGCCCCTGTGTCTGGGATTGCCTTGAAGGCTTTTGATTCCAGAAACTATTGGCGGATAATGCAAGTAGTCTTGGGTTACCGACAAGGTGAACCCATGCAATTAGCGCGTGGCCATTTTTTGTGTCAACATAGACGGTACTCATACCGGAACAGTGCCGGCATGGGGCGGTGTTTATAAATAAGTCTACACGTGAGTGGATGCCCGAGAAAAATAAATAGTTTACGCAGCACTGGATGTTTTCCAGTGACTTTGTTTAAAAGATGTAAGCTGCCTTTAAAATAAATAAGAGAATTTGTTTCCATGAAGCCTCTCGGTGGGGGTTTTGTTTATTTGAGAGATGTAATGTGAGGGCCGAGTGGGTTTATAAATGCTGTCGTAAACTCGTTCTTCATTATTTAAGCTGTGATAATTTTGTGTGTGAACTTACGGAGACTCCTGGTTCCTGGTTCAAATCCAGGTTGGGTATAATTGTAAACGCTCTTTTTGTATGATGGTCAAACTTCCATGGTTTGTCTATTGTTGCTTTGGCCCAATATCTGGCGAAAGATCATGCACTTTAGCCGTGAGTTATTGATAAAGCTCGAGGTTTTAGTCTTCAGTTAAGATCGTTTTAATCATTACTAATAATACTAAAATTTTTTTTATAGAATAATGATTTATATAGTATATTTAATTATGAGATAAAAATATATGTTAACAGAACCGTAATTTGTATGCTACATATGTTTACATTTAAAAGTATCCAAATCAAGTCAGTATAACTGGACAACATCTAATGGACAGAATCAACTGACAGGGCGACATGACTGAAATGGAGATAGGACTGGCCAAGCGACACGTATGACGGGGAGAGGGGCGAGGGGGGGGGGGAGAGGGGGGGATGGACTAACAATACATGACTGCATGACTGACAGCGGAACAGGACTGAAATGACAGAGAGGACTGACATGACGAAACGACTTAAATGACTGACTAGGCGACATGACGGTCATGATTGACGGTATGACGGTAGGACTGACAAGATGACACAACTGACAAGGCAACAGGACTGATAGGACGATATGACTGACTGTGACAGGACTGGCAGGGCGAGAGGACAGACCGAGTGAAAGAACTGACAGGGTGATATGACTGACAAGTTGAAAGAACTGACAGGGTGATATGACTGACAAGTTGAAAGAACTGACAGGATGACAAAACTGGCATGTCCATAGGACTGAGATATTCTAATGATGAAGGTAATTATTTCAAATGATGTTATTGTAGATACCTTCGAATGAAAAAGTTCTATTGTTTCAACACTCACCTTATGTAGCCATAGGCGCCTTCAAATGATGGAGGTAGATCGTTGGGTAGCTGAAGCTGGAAAGGAAATGTGTGCTGCCCCGCTCCAAGGATTCTCGACTCTTCTTGGGATTCATCTAAGGGAGTATTTAAAACTATGGGATTATCTAAGGGAGTATTTAAAACTAGGGGATTATCTAAGGGAGTATTTACAACTATGGGATTATCTAAGGGAGTATTTAAAACTATGGGATACATCGTAAGGAATGCTGACAACTATATGATTCTATAGTTACAAATATTGAATGTAGAGGGATATTTTTCGAGCTGAAGGATTAAACTATGAAAACATTGGAATGAAAAACAACAGTTTGAGCTATGAGATAACTATTCAAGATTCAATGGTAAAGAGGTTAGTTGATGTTTAAGATGTATATAAATAGATTTATAGGAGATTTATGAAAAGAACGATAGTTGGCATTCATATTGGAATTTTTTTTCAAGTGTGCTCCAAAGTTACAAAAATGCTAATATATGAACACTTGTATATGCCTTTATATATGCATTGAATTCAAGAAATTAAAATGCCTTTATATAAATCGTGGGTTGCTATTTGGTGTAGAGCCTATTGAAAAAAACAATTGGGAATTCGTGGGCCAACCTCTAAATATAAACATGGCTACAAAAAATTGTATTAGTATACTTCACTTACAGAGATATGTAATTATAAATAAATAAACCTTTCACAAATATAGCAAAAAATAAATTTTTATATTCATTTGCTATTGAATATAATAAGAAAGATATCTTGAGTATTCCCTACATCATCAATTACAATTTTAGAAATGTCGCAAATTATATTATATATTAATAATTTTTCTGGTAAAATGTTGCTATATTTACTGGTTAAACATTGATAGTTCGCTGGTTAAATATTGGCTTGTGGGTTAAACGTTGGTAAATCTCAGGGCGCAGTTTTAGTATATTTAAACCTCGCCCCTTTCGTCACAGATACTCCTAACCCCCCCCCCCCCCCCACACACACACACAACACAGATAAATATGACTTTTTATAGTTACACGCACATACACACAATTAAATAATCAAACAATAACAAAACAAAAAAACTAACTAGCTGCTCATTTATTATTTTACAATTCTTCATCAGATTTCTGGACCCCCCTCCCCCTCATTCCATCTCATTACTCAGAATGATTGTGTGGTTGTATTGCAGAGACAGTCAAAAATAGAATGACTGTATGGTGTAATATTCTATAAGTCGATGATTTAAATCATATATCTGTTAAATGTGTAGGCTGTCTACTGTCAAGTTGAAGTTTAGTTAAGTAACTGGTATCTGGAATGTTCTTCCTACCAGTCAGTATCCGACAATGGACTCTTCTAAAAATGTTTGGTGGCTAGGAGTCTTGCATCTACAAGTGTCCGACAATAGACTTCTGAAAATAGGTGTGTTAGGTTGTTAATAGTATTGGCACATTAGCTTTCTTGTTAGGGAGGGAAATTTTGTTACGGCTATTATTGTACTTGGGTTAGAGTTTTGGTTAGCGACTTAGCGTGTATACCTAGCAACGTATATTAGTATTTAATTTAATACCTGTGTCCAGTCAAAAGCACTTAAGGAAAAAACGAAACTATAAGGAGGTATATATTGACTACTTAATTTTTATGTTTAATATTTATTATTTTTCAAACGTTTGTAACATTGGTAACAGCACAGTTATGAAATATGAAATTTCGACATCGGTTTTTGCTCAACACAAAATGTGATTAAAGAGCCAACACCGTCAATACCCAGGATATTTACGACAACAAAAGCCAGCACATGTCCTGAGTTGAGAGCGGTGAATGCCAAAGGTTATATGGAAGAAACGTTCTTTGACAAAACAATACACGAGGGAGATTTACTATTATATCGATGGAAAACAACATTACCGAGGAGAAAACCAACCACTAGTGTTCCAGCTTTTTGCACCATTACAGTATTAAGCCCCGTATGTGAGATAGTAAAAACAACGATAATATTAATTTGATGGCAGCTCCTGAAGTGCAAACCTTCACTAAGCGCAACAATTGAAAATTTTGCTGGAACAAAACACATTCTATTTTTAAACTGCACTTGTATTTTTTAATTTCTCGTATATACGAAGTATAGAGAAAGTATTGTAATCGTGCACAAAAATCACTTGAAATTTTAACAATTTTCACCGTATTACACCTCAGTCCTTCATCACATCCAAACTATAGAGGACTTATTTTAATCGGGCAAAAATTATCAATCCAGATTTATCAAAATTAAGAGGTTTTATGCGTAATCCAGTCTGAAAAACTGGGCTTTGCAATTCTGTCCGTATGTCTGTGTGTCCGTCTGTCCGTGTGTAAACACGATAACATGAGTACCGTTACAGCTAGGTTGATGAAATTTCATATATAAGTATTTTATCAAAATCGTAGATCCGTATCAACTTTTGAGCAATTTCCGATAACCGGAAGTGGTACTTTTTTTACTTTGAATTTTTCAAAAGCCTATAACTTGAGTACTATTTCAGATAGATAAATGAAATTTCACATCTAAGTATAAAATCTAATTCTCTACCTTCTGTCAAATTTTGAGTAATTTCCGTTGCCCGGAAGTACTAATTTATGCTACTTCCGATTTCTCAAAAAACTAATGTAAATTTTTAAAGTACTAATAATATTGCGCACTATTATGCACTTTTTTATTTGGCGTTCACTTGGTGTGCAATCTTTTGTCTACGCGATTTTATTCTATTTTTAAAACTTTAAGTATTTAAAATGGATTAAAAATCATGTCTATAGCCCGAGTTCCCATCCCCTGGTATTTTATATAAGAATATTCGAGAAAGTTTAGGGGAGATCACTCCCGGTTTATTTAAACAATATAATAATCATTCATTAAAAGTAATACAATGCTTTTCTTGATTCTGTTTTGTTTTTTAAAGCGAACTATTCATGTCGTGGCCTAATGGTAGAGAGCTAGACTACTAACCCGAGTGTCTCTCGAGTACGAATCCGGGTTCTAATGACAAGGTCTCTGAAGCAGATGAACTCTACTTCACCAGCCCCATGTGTCTTGGACACTAGCAGGAAATGACGAAGGGTATTTGTCCTTTGGGTGAGGGGGTGTGGCCAGGAGATTTTATCCAGAAAATTCTGCCGGTGGTGTTTACTACAAATAACCTAACACCCCTTTTTAAAGAAAATTCCATTTTTGTCAAATTATCGGACACTGGTATTATCGTATAACAGACACGAATTGGTGTTTGTGATGGAATTCACAATAACATTAGCAAATTAAAAAAAGTTACTACTGTGCTATTAACCAAACAACTCCCTTTCCGAAGATCCCATTATTGGTGTAAAGAAAATTACAGGTATTGAAGTGTTTTACAGTCTCTAGGCTCCCAAACTACTAAGGCCATGGCCTATGTCACCTTGACCTTGTGGCCTCCCACATTGTTCGTTTACTGGATGGCTCTTTAAATAATGTTCACGTGCGAACACCTGCAGGCTTGCCAGTGAGGAAAAATATCAGGAACGTAAATAATGAGCTCTAATATGTCAGTGCATTTTTTTTTTTGGAATGAGCACTCATTCATCAGATGAAATGGGAATATGTTTTTGTCTAACAGATTAAAAAATACACCAGACAACCATTATTTGGTTTAAAAAAAAATAGTGACAATACATCAAAGGGAAGTTATAAGACGGACAATGATTACCCCTATAAGATATCCTCTCTTTGTCTAATTAAATAACAATCCGTGGAGACTGTAGGCTTATTATATACCTAGAGGGAGCCAAAGATTAAAGGTCACGGTGTTAACTGATGTAAACAACAGACGTGGGATTGTTTATTGATGTAAACAGATTGAGCACCAAGCAAAATAGCACAGTGGTGGCTAGATAAGTGCCTTAATGGTATTTTGTCGTAGCTGCTCTTTTTATGTCAGGTCACCCCTATAACAAACTATTTTAAATTGATACACACAATTCAAACATATAACTAACAAAGTCAGTTAGGGGTGTCGTGCACGGAATGTGCAGGGGTTAGTTGTGTTAAACTTTGTTAGATGGGGGGGGGATAGAATTTAGCAATGTTTTATTTTCTTAATTTCTCAATTTCTTCGGTGTATAGCGGTGGTTAGTGAACGTTAAAATCTGGACTACAATTTTTTAAAAACAAGTTTAGCCTAGACAGCTTGTTCTGATAAAGAAGTAAAAAGCGGATTGTATTAACAAAACACAAAACTTTTGTAGAACGAATAGGATCATGGTGAGGTTCCAAGAAACCACATACATATAAAACAATAATTCCAAACACATAAAACCAGTGTTCCTGCTTTGAATACATAGTTAGCACAATACAGAAGTTTTATAACTGAGACTAGCGCTAGTGGAGGCCCGAAAAGTCTGACAGACACGTGGATAATGTCTGAGATAAAAATGTACACAGATAAATAAAACAATATTTGTAACGTTTGATCTGAGGTCAAAGATTTTCGTTCAAAATTCAAACCGGACAGAAAGTTTGCAAACCGCTGCGCGATGACACAATCTGACGAAGGTCCATTTCCAATTTAAAACTAACGCAATAAAAACAATTAATATGTGGTGCTGTGTGCTGTTCCACTTCCCACTCACCTGAGTGTTCGCAGAAATTAGTAGGCCTATCCATGTTAGGAATTACATATTATTGTATAGCACTACAGTATCATATTAAAGGATTGTGCAATCATATAACGACGGGCTGTTTTGTTATTTCTGGTGAAGCATTCTGATGTGTTTTATTTTTTATTTTACGCATTTAAACGTGAATTTCTGGCGGCTTATTTTAGGACAACAATCACCTCGTTCTCGTACATTCATATAGTTTTACACCCCCCCCCCTCCCCACCATAACTTCCTCCATCTGATCACGATCATTAGTATACCTTCCACCTTGCAAACCCCCCCCTCCCCCCACCAACCCACCCCGCTGCTTCCATTAACAATAGGTTAAACTGTGCACCCCATGCGTATTGTCTCAACGACAAAATTGTTGAGTTTCTCTACAACTGTGTCGCTGAGAATAAGACCCTTCCAATCGTTCTCAGTTGAGATTGTCGTAGAGAATTAATAAAAAACTCAAAACTCCGAAGACTCTATATTTTATGGTTTAAAAAAAAAAGAAACGAAACGAGAAATATATCCACCATTTTGGATTCACCATAGAGATCCTAAACGCTCGTTTTTCTCTTAGTATATATAGATCTATATCTAAGCGTTTCGCAATCACTAATTATTTACTAATTACAGCTTAAAAGTGAATTCTAGTATATAGACCCATTCACAGTTATGCCTCCTAAAAGAAAACAGGAAAGAATTGAAGACGAAGAGGTAAAACAAAACTTAGTAGAAGCAGTTGTTTTAATTTTATTTTTACTTAAACTTAACTAAAACTTTTAAGTTTTAGTAGGCCTAAAATTACTTAAATAATATATTAAAATAGGCTATTAAAAGAGATTTTTAAAAATATTTTATACTCAACTAAATAGACTAGATTAGAAATATTTCCTAGATATACTAAAACTATACTACAAACCCTCCTTAATATAATAATAAATAGATCTAGTAAGAAATACTCGTATCCCATTGATGATGACCCATGCAAGCGCAACTGCTTGAACACACAGTACAGATACTATCTGTCAGATAGTTTTGTCAGAAGAATATGGCTAAAAAGGAAAACTGATCCCATTAAGCAGCTATAAAAGGATAATTTCATAAATTTTAGCCCATTGCACAGCTATTAATTATAGTATTTATTTTGCGAAGTGACTACTCGGAAGAAGATTTTTCTCCCCAATGTCTCCACTTAGTCGGCAAAAGATAGCTCTGCGCATGCACAGTGACCTATGGCTAGGGTTAGGGCTAGAATGAGGGGTAGGGTTAGGGATAGGGATAGGGTTAGGGATAGGATTAGGGATAGGGTTAGGGTTGGTATTAGGGTTCTGCGGTTGTAAACACACGCATGCCCAGTACCATCGAAAACATCGCCGCGAAGGCAAGTCGTAGTTTCTCTCCATTGCGCATGCGTATCTTATTCCGGCTAGCATCGGCCTCTATTTTGAGCCAATTGTGCATCTATTAAAATAGGTCATTGCGATTTGCATCTTCTGCCAGCCAGACTAGCACTGGGAGTACTAAGCTTCTTCTGAGTAGTCACTTCATAAGTATAATTACTATTAGGCTTCTTAAAATATACTAATTACTACCAAGTCTAGCCCCTCTATTTAATTAGAGGTCAGGGCTATAGGTATCCCGTTCCTAATAGCCCCAGCTACTATTAGGACCTGGGTCCATACAGTCCTGGCCGCTATTCTGACCCTGCATTAAGTTCAGTCTATAGTTTAACATAAAATTATACATTTTATGTTTATTTGATTTTTCTTGTGGGTTTGCAAGTATCTTATTTTTGTTTTGTGTGTGTGTTAAATAGTTTTTGTGGATTTGCTACTGTTAGGTCCTTCTATATGTAAATACTCTATATTTAGCCCTATATACAAAATCATTAAATATTGATTATTTAACAAAAGACATCATGATCGGGTGGAGAATGTCGTGCTATTAAAAATATTGGGAGTTACTGGACTCGAACCAAACTGAACAGGAATTCCTCTTCACTTGTTCCTTGAAAATCACTTAGTTTTGTGCGAGAAAAATAGTATTAAACTAAGCTAGTTCTGTCGCAAGTATAGATTCCTAGATTTAGATATTTAAATATGTCATTTCTAAACGTTGTTGCTCCTATGATTGCCCGCTCACGTTATCTTGGTTTAGATATCAGTAGTGTAAGCCTATAGCATACAACATAGGCAACATAGCAAGAACAATGCTATTTAAGATTGCTAATGACACCACTTTTATTTGTCCCCCAGAAGTTGTAGCCTTAATTCAGCTATTCTATAGTTTTTTAATTTTTTAAAATTTTGGACTGATAGGCCTATAATTTACTATAAAATTAAATTACAGTTAAATAAGATGAGAAAAAATAATGGATCATTTTACATGCACGCCCAACATTCATTGGGTCTGAGAAGTTCATACCATAGGCCATATATAATAGACCTAACGATTAATCTTTGCCATGACATTTGTCAGAAATGATATAGGATATTTAAAGCAAGATCTCTAGATGTTTATGGAATTACAAGAAAGAAGTCATAACAACAGAAAATATATATTCTACATCTTAAAAAGTATTATTGTGTAATTAAATGTCAACAAATTTAATGTCTGGTCTGAATTGTGGCCAAGTCTATAAGGATCTAGTCCTAATAGCGGCCATGGCTAATCAGACCCGGGTCTGATTAATTTAAGAAAGATTAAGATTAAATTAATAAGGATTATAATTTAAAACCTTACCATTTTTACAGGCTTAATTAGTAATCAGTGTTTCTTCCAGAATTTTTCTCTGGCTGGAGGGGGGGGGGAGGAGAGAATACCTGGAAGAAATTCTGTTAGTAATTACTAATATTTAAATGTAATAATTTAACAAAGTCACTATTTCGGCCTATATGATAATTTTTTTTTATTTTGCAGGTCTATAGGTAGCTTTATAGTTCTAGGTTTAATAAACAATTAATATAATTTATAAAAATGAGTAATAATAAGTATAATGAATTTAATATTTATTAGTTTTGAACATTAGTCTAGCAAAATTATTAGTTAGCCAGGGAAAGTTATAGTCAACAGCACTAACATTGGTGGACTGTGTCCAAGAGGCTTGGGAAATATTTAAAAGGGCCCCCAACCTTGGATAGAAGTTTTCACCGAGCATTTTTTCTCTTTCAAAGCCTGGAGAAATACCTACAAATCATTTTTTTTTAAATCAAAACATTAAAAGAACTAATACAGCACATTTCATGGAGGCCTATCAAGATTTGTCTCTGTGGGGCACATGGGTTTTTCCTGGTAGACCGGCTGAATGAAAGAAATATCACTGTCAATTAATTATTTTATTATATTTTTTGCTTAAGACTTAATTGAAAATAGTGTATTGCAGTTATTAACAAAATAAATTTAATTAATGTATATATTTTTTACAAATAGGCTCATTGTTTAATTTCTGTACAGGGGATACCAGTGAAGATATACTGTTATGCTTCTGGGGGACGTGCAACAAGATGGTACAATCCGGCAGAAAAAAAACCAGGCACATCAAAGTCTAGAAAAACCGGAAACTTTACTACTAATGATAATTTAGAAATGATACAAAGTGATGCTGAAGATGAAGAAGATGAACAAAAAGAATCTGCTTACACTAGTAAGTAGTTTTACATTTTTAATTCTTTTGTTAGTAAAACTAAAATTGTAGTTTACACTAATATTATTTTTAATATTACATTATTTTAATGTTACAGTTAACAAAAACAAAAGATTAGCAGTTTGGCAAGATCTACGGGCTAAATTTATTGCTGTTGGATTAGCAAAACTGGAACGCAGTTTTAAAAACTGCACATTTTGCTCATGTCCAATAGATACAGGTGCACATTATCGATGTGATGACTGTGCACCTTTTGCCATGGAAATGTGTGGATCTTGCCTGCTACAACAACATGCCTACCCACACCTTCACATGTTCAGCATTTGGCAGGTAATATATTTATACAGTCAATTTTACATCTTTTAATTAATAGAACATAGGTTTCACTAACTAAATGAAGAAAATTGTATTGTTTATATTTTCATCATTATTACCATAGGATGGAACATTCATGCCATGCAGCCAGAATATTTATGAGCACCAGATTTGGCAAATACCACATGACTGTAAGGGTGAAAAAACAACTAGCCAACTAATCATTGTTGATCAAAAAGGTAGAATCAATACATATTTAAACTATAATAATGTTATTATGCTCTGGAACTAATTGTTCTCTAAAATTCTAATTGGGGAAAAAAAATATTTTTAGGCAGAGAACACATCAGAAAGATTATGTTTTGTAGCTGTGAGGAGCAACCTGTAACACTACTGAAATTGGGTCTCTGGGCAGGCTCTCCAATGATACCAAAAGTGGCATATCATGTTGAACTGTTCGTTCAAATGAGAAGTCTTCTTTTAGAAGGCCATGTGCCCATTAAAACATTTTGCAGCTCTCTGGAATTTAATAGTCCTCCAGAAGCTAGACGCATTTCTCAGTTTGTGAGTTACCAATCATTCTTTGTCAATTGTTAAGTGATTTAAAAAATTAAAAAGTCAATAAACTATATGTAAATATATATATATATATATATATATATATATATATATATATATATATATATATATATATACAATTTTTTTTTTCAGAAAAATATATACTCTTCATGCTTTTTAGAAGCATTTGAAGAATTTAAACATTACATGTATGGGGTGGAACACCCTGTTGAATTTGTTGATGGTCTTGATGATGGCACTCAGTGTCCTGCTTGCTTTAATGTATGTAATTTTTTTTTTTTTTTTTTTTTTTTTTTTTTTTTTAATAAAAAATATAATACTAAATTCCCACCAACTACATGTCTTTAAAGGCTTCAACCAAAATCATCTGCCTGGATGCAGATTTTCAACTTGTGCGGAAAGCATCAGCAGGGAGACAATGGGAAACGCCAACAAGACAGGTTTTTTTCCATCAACAAGATGCTGTTGAAACATTTGTTTCAACTTATAAGGAAGAAAGTGTTGCAAATGTAAGTTGAACTAGATAGATAGTTATTATTGCTAAAGCCTTAAATAATTTACATTTATCTGAAGTACAGTTGCAGTTTTTTCTTTAGGATCAGTGTTCGGATTTCCAAGCCGGAAACAATCTACGATCAAAATCCAAAAACGTAAAACTTTCGGACAAAGGTATATTTGGGTCAGTCTGTCGACATGAAATTCCCAATAAATTTGCCAGTTTAAAACATGGAGAAAGGTAGTGTGACTAAATTTTATTTTATATAGTGTACCTAATTTCATCGTTTCAAGTATTTATTAAATTATTTTTTCATTGGGCAAAATTAGCTCATCAAACTTTCAATAAAGTTCTTCTTTTAAAAAATGTGAAACGGATTTTAGTGTAATTGTTTGCAAAAAATACATATTTAAAATTTAACATTAAAGGTAAGTTCATAATTTATCAGATTGTGCACAGCTAATTCTTACCCCAATAAACAAAGAATGAGTATTGATACATTAAATAAATGTATTTTTTGAAGTAATATCAATTTAGTTCACTTAATTTTATTTTGCAGACTTGCTTATCCAGTGTACTTTCTAGAAAAACTTGTAGATAATTTTCAAGGAAGCAAGCTCATCATATCATATGACATCGCTTGTAAGCTAAATAAACATTTGCAGGTAACATTAAAATTGACACATTTAATTAAAATAAAAATAAATTAAATATAGTTCAAATTGTATTAAACCATATATATATATATATATATATATATATATATATATATATATATATAAACACAAAATTTTTACTTAACATAAGTTATTAAATTAGTCATAATCTCATGTTTTATTTTATAGAAAAATAACCCAGCCTTACTAAAAAAATGTCAGATGATGGTGCCAATCTTCCATTGCTATGGTCATCAAAGACAATGTCAGGTAATAAGTAGTATGACAGAATTATTGTACCCACTGCACAGAAACTTTCAATTATAACTTTTAAAATTTGCACCTTTTTAGATATTATATCATCCAAGGAGAATTGAGGGAGTTGGATTGACAGATGGAGAAGGGATAGAAAGGCTTTGGTCTTATTTAGGCAAGTTTTCAAAAATTTGTAAAGAAATGAAGCCTGAAACTAGACAAGATATGCTGTCAGATGGACTTCTACATTTTAGTGAGAGAAAAAAGAAGAATATAGGTATATTTTTTTTAATTGATAATGAATTCTATTGCTATTATCTTACTATAGTATAGTTATGACTTTTTGTGGTTAATAATTAAAAATAGGCCTATATAGCCTGGTTGTTGTTTTTTAACTTTTTAACAAGCTATTAATTCATACATATTTTGTTGAGAATATATTGTACACAATACAAAAAGTCATTCTTTTATCTTAGGCCACTCTTTAGTTGCACGGCTCGGAAGAGCAACTATAGTCAAAGAAACTGCCATCAAATCTTTGGCAGAGTTACAACAGCTTCACCCAGGTAACCTATACTTACTTTTAAAATGTTCTAAGTAATTTGCAATCAAAAAGTGTTTGCAAAATAAATGATAAACTTTTAAAATGTTACAGACATAAACCAAGAAATTATATCAAAATGGACTAAAGAAGAAGTTGAATCTGTTCAAAAGGATATAAGCAGTAAGTAATTATCATGATGAATATAGTACTAGCATAAGTTAGTAAAATATATCTGATTATGAAAAATTAATATGAAACATAATTTTTTTATTACCAGTGAAAAAATCTGCAAAGAAGGATTCATTTCTGCTAATACAGAACTTTGCTATTGAGCGTCATTTTTTGAAGGAGCAGATCAGGAAATATGCAAGTCAGTTATTATATCAAATATGCCTTTAAATTGTTAAACAAAAATATACATAAAGCATTTTAGAATAATAATTGTTTAATCATTCAATTAATTTTTTCTCCTAGGAGGCCAATCAATTGCTAAGAGAATTAGCAGACAACTTTCCACAAACGCTAAGAAACTGCAAAAAGCTATAGATGATCACAACAAATCAGAACTAATCCCAGTTACTTTTAATCAAGTTATAAATTTATCTGATTCTTCATGGGTTCAAAATTATGGGATAGAGCTTTTAAAAAGGCAAACAATTGATTTAAATAATATTATTTTAAGATGTCATGAAGAAGATGAATTGATTAAAAAAGAAATGATTTCTGTTTTAAATTTTTATGAACTTCAAATTAATCACATAAATGAAGCTTGTAGAATAATCATTACAAAATTTCGACCTAGACTTTTTCTTGACATGTTTAGATTAAAATTGTACTTTAATTTTCTTCTTGATTTATTTACACCCTTTCTATCTGATCTTAAATTTTCCAAATTTGCTGTTGTTAATGAACATGATTTTGTTAATTTTGAAAATAGTGAAGATATTTTAAGTATAGACTCAGGTGAGGTAGATGCCAATAGTTCAATGATTGAAGATGAGGATGATGAAGATACTGATGTTTAATTTACAATGTTGTTTTACTATAACTTTTTGCTGCTGTATTAGCTTAGTCATATTAGCCTTTTTAAAATTATAACCTATTTTGTAGGTTAGATCTGTATTATATATGGTTGGTTTTCTTACCCTACGTTATAAATACTTTTAATGCATGTATGTGTTCTAGCCCAAATGACAATAGGTTGCTTTAACAGCCTACCATTATTTCAATTAAATAGTTTTTGTTAGTTTTTACACCAATCAATACATTGTCTTGATTGTATAGAATTTTTTTTAACACATTATCTTTGTTAAGTTTGAAACATGCATAATGATAAGCTCTTACCAGTCTTGATGCAATTTTTTAGTCTAACAGAGTATGTACAAATGAGTGTCATATGTGATACAAATTTAATAACAAAAAATTGTATGCCCAACAAACTGTTTTTATTTTAATGAAGACCTACTTCCACTGCTGCTATCATAATTATAATTTCCATTTGAATTTTATGTTGCTGATCTATTAACTTCACTAAAAGTATCAAATTAAATTCAGTTTACAAAACAAATGTTGGTGTTACAATAGTTATATTTCAATTTTCCCTTATACCTAATCTGCCAGTGTCACTCAGAGAACATGTTACACATTTAACTTTTTGAAAAACTGTTATGGGGTCATCCATAAATGACGTCACACTTGTAGGGGGGTCCATAATTTTGTGACGACGTGTGACGGAGGGAAGGGGGAAGGTAAAAATCGTCAAAAAAAAGCGTGACGTCATTTATGGATGACCCCTATCCGCTTAATATCTCACAATCTAAGCAGACGTCTATGAAACCAACAGATACCAATAAAAACAAAATAAATCTCACTTTGTTAAAGTGGAAGTTATTCTGGACGGGGCATTAGCTAGCTTGGTAGTGTTTCATTCACTTAATGTTTAGGAATATTAAGACTGGTTGGGATTATAAAGTGATGAGGGCAGAAATATCAGCCCCGACATTTAAGGTAACGCACTTCGAGGCTCTACATTTTCTACTTAAAGTAATATAAAATTGCTATTGCAGAAGTAGTGCTGGAGTAAAGACACGCGGAACTAGTAGAACTACTTGATGAAACCTTGCAATATATGTCTTGTCTTGATGTAGCAAAAAATTTTAACGTATGCAAAACGGTAACTAAATTAAGATATACTCAGCTACAAAAAAAAAAAAAAAAAAAACCCACAGCATATGCACGTGGAGAAAAACTCACGGAGAATTCTGGCGCTATCTATCAAAGTGCCACACACTTCTTTTGAGCAGAAATTTTCTCTCCAACCCCAGTTTATGAATCAACGATATTATCAGCTCCACAACCTCTAACCCTATAGCTTTCTAAATCATCTTCCATTATTTCCTAACTCTAGCCGTAAAGCTTTCTTAATCATCTTCCATTATTTCCTAACCCTAACCCTATAGCTTTCTAAATCATCTTCCATTATTCCCTAACCCTAACCTTAACCCTAGCCTTAACCCTATAGCTTTCTAAATCATCTTCCATTATTCACTAACCCTAACCCTAACCCTAACCCTAGCCCTAACCCTAACCCTAACCCTAGCCCTATCGACAGATAAGAAGTTGTTTTTAACTTTTGGCCCGTACACTTTCTGCATTAGTGACGGGGCTAAGAAGAACGTATTCTCATATACGGACCCATTCATATTGTTGAGTTACGATGCGCTTGACGTTTAGCCATGTGTAAGTAAAGTTCTCCTTCCAAAGCTGACGGCAAGTGAAGTAGAGTTCATCTGTTTCTGTGACATCGGCATATGAAGGAATAGTGTGGTCAGCACTATGCCCAGCCGCCTTTACTTTCCCTGTAAGGTTAGGTACCCCGTCCCAGGGCCACTACGTCCCGTTTTGTATTATTTTAATTATTTTAAGATTTTGTTTGATGTTGTATTTCCTTATGATGGTCCAAATTACATCTTGTCATACTCAAAAGCCTTCTTAAATTTCACACGGTAAAGATGTTGCTGGCGCTGGGGGTAGGTTATTTGAAATTATATATATGCATATAAACATATATATATATATATATATATATATATATATATATATATATATATATATATATAAATGGCCCAATACGGAGAATATTTTTTTTTAATTAATTTATCTTCACTGTACTTTACCACACAATTTTGGCAAGTATGGCTGATCGCAAAAATTCCTGGCCATATGGCTTATTTTCGCGCAATATTGTAAGTTAAGCTTGTTAGGTGAAACCAAACTGGGAGATCAGGAATCTAGATCTAAAATAGATCTAGATCTACATCTGCATCTTTATCTTACCTTATACAGTTTTCTATTAAATAATATGAGTTCAGTGAGTGTAAGGCGAAGTTTAGATCTATTAAATCCGTACTCGACAGCTAATTAAATTAAAAATAAAAATTATCATTTCATTATCATGATTATCATTAATTATTATTAATTTAATACTAATTATATAGAAACATTTACATAGATCTACATTCTCATTGTAATCTAGAAGTAAATTAATCTAGCTAGATCTAGAATATCTAGATCTATATATTTTGTATAATGATTGTTAATCTATAATTAATATTTTATATCCTCAGCAGTTCTTAACCGCTTTTCATATCTGCCCTTTGTCCGTAATAAGTAATGTGAGTCAGGTACCCATCAGAGCTGGGTGGACTCAGGGACGTCCTACAGACTCCAACATGGGAGCCGAACTCGAGCAGTCATTAGCTCTAACCACGCTGTCTCTGACTATTACTTATTACATTAGAAGATTAATTATTGATAATCAATAGCAATAGGGTATTTATAATTATATCACAGTGCCTATTTACATTTTAAAAACAATAACATATAGATTCTATAATAAAAATAGATATGTTATTAGACTATGACCATTACTAATTGTTCTTTATATTTAAAAACCTTTTTGATTAACATTTTTTAGAGGAAGTATTTGACTGTTGATGAAAAAAAACAGCTCAATTCTGCAATTGAAAATGGAATGACAACTAGAGATAAGGAATGGATAGGAAAGCTGGCAAGGGAAATCAAAATTGAGCCATTTAGAATTGAAGTAATGTATTAATGTTTTAAATGCTGAAATATTAAAATAAAATGTATACTAATAGATTAAAGTTGATAATAGCTCATGTTGACTGTTAATTTACTGATACATTTATATCTGCAGAAGTACATATACAACATGAAGAGGCAAAAGGATAACTCTGTTTGCAAGCTCCCCAGAAAAAGAAGAAGTGGTTGGGATGAATTTAGAGCCATGCAAAAGCAAGGTTTGCTAACCATCTTTTAGAATTATAATTATGCTCCAACATATTAAGATAAACTATAGACTTTTAATAAAGATACTTTTGTTCATATTTTCATCATTCAGGTGCTGATGAAGATAACAGGTCATTTTTAAGAAGAATTTCCCAAGAATGGAAATTGCTTGATCATGTGACAAAAGTTGAAATGGACAGGAAGGCACAAGAGAAAAACAAACAACCTTTTTATGGGCTCGAGGATAGTGATATTGTAAAGGGGCTGAAGAAAAGATTAAAATTATTGGTAAGATGTTAAGATCACTTGTCAACTATACAACAGATTAATAATACTAATACATGTAAATATCTTAATAATTCGTTCACTTTTTTTTTGCAGGTTAAAGATATGGAAAAGGCTAATGTAAAATTTATTGGTGTTAGTTCTTACTTTGACCCGATTAACAAAGTTGAAGTGTTCCACACCATGAATGCAAAACATTTAAAAAAAGACATAATAGATCTTGTATGCAAAGGTGAGGGTTTTTTCTTTGCGCAGGCAGAAATAATCAATGAGTTTAATTAGGCCTTATATATTTTAGAAATTTAAAATAATTTAAGAAGTTTTGAGATTTAAAAAAAAAAACTTCACCAAAAAAAGAAATATTTATATATACTGGTATTCTTTTTTATATTTTGTTAAATGTAGAAAAAGTTCATATCTGCTAAACTTTAGGCTAAGACCTTGAATACCTATTATGAAAACCTATTTTAAATCTGCATTATAAATATTTATTTGTGAATTTAATATTTAAATGATTGTATAGATTAGCAATTATAGTGTTATACTTTTTATGTAGTTTCTACCTATATTTGTAATTATTAAAATCTTTTATTATTTTACAGATCCATTACAAAGCTGCACTAAATCTGTCAGACTGCGCCAATTAGTGATGGAGATTTTTCAGGAAAGATGGGGTAGGTCAATTTAAGACAATGTTCCTTTTATTGCCTTTGCATTTCTAATTTTAAAAATATGCTACACTAGATTGTGTTCAAGAATAATATAATTTAAATTTATTTTATTGAAAAACTATTTGGCTGGTCTAAATCTTTTGCAACCTAAAGACAAATGGTAATGGTTAAAATTAATAGATTTGTTTATGTGTGCACAAACTTACATATATAAATATGTGTGTTTCAGAAAGTTGCATGAAACTCAATACTCAAGTACCATACTTTAGTAGTAACATAACTGTCACTGGGCTGCCTACAGGGATACCATTCAAGCACCCTCAACTGTACACTGTAAATGAATTAAATCAAATAATAGCAGAAGACAAATACAATATACAGATGGCTATAACCTTGTGAGTTATTTTAGTATGATTTATAATATATAATAGATTTTAAAAGTGTAATCAATTACTTATAATGTAGCCCTATTTTAAAAAAATATATAATTATTAATTATTTTAAAAATTTTTTTAATGCTCATCATGTCAAATTATTCTTCCATGAGTAAAAACTTTTTTAGTAACTAATGCAAAGTAAATATTTAATTTTTTCCAGGAAAACAATGGATTATGATTGTGAGTTTATCTTTGTATTCCTGAAGTTCAAATTATTTATTTAATTTGAGATAGTTAAACTCCTGTAGATTTCTAATATTCTTATATCAAATTTAATTTATCGTGTAAGTAATGTAAGACTGGAACTTCTAAGTTCTCATACTAAGTTGCATTCCATGCTGATTCCTAAACCTAACATTTGAGAAATATTCTGAAGTAGGCCTTCTAATAAACATGTTATATTGCAGTATTGTGCATCATTTCTTCTGTTTTTATTTGCAATTTCTAAGGAATTCTTTATGTACTTATTATTAAAAAACTTTATTGTGTTGTCATTGAACCTATTGTGTTTCAAACACTGATGTATATTCTTCCTTGCAGGTTTGCTAAGCTCATTAGAAAGCTTGAAAGTCCTTTCAAAAAATTTTAGAGGTCGAGTGTTAATTGAAGGTATTACTTTTTGACAAACTGGTGTTTAATAATTGTATGCAATAATAATCCATATCAATATTATATTATATATTTTAGATAATTAATTATTTATGAATGATTTCTTTTTTAGATGAAAGTAAAAAGCTGCAATATCCTGAAAAGGAAGAGTCATCCTTCAAAGACTGTGAAATTCAGGTTTTGGAACTTGGTAAGATGATAACTGTGTTATTTATTGATATTGTGTTGTGGTGGTGCTGGGTTTGAAAAATCATGGCTTTACTTGAGCTGAAGCACAAAACTTTGCATGCTATTTGTTTCAGACTTAAATGAAGCTGTAGCTGGGATTGTTTTAGCTGCAGATGAATCAAGTACAAATACAGAACAAACAGAAATAACTGAGCTTGAGATACCGAGTATCCTTAGTATAAACCAAGGTAATAATGTAAACTTATGTTATGGTCTTACAATTGACAAGTAGAGTAAACCTCAGTTATTTATTTTATGTAAAATAAGAAAGTTTTTTTTTTAACTCTATTTCTGTTGTTTCATTAAATCTAGATAAATCAATAGCACTGACACAAGCTCAAATTGAAAATGTTGTTCCAGAAACTCCCACTTACATCAAAATGGGTAAGAGAACTAATCCCTAAAATAAAATAAAAATGTATCATTAATGAATTAATGTGCTTACAAAATATAATTTATTTAAAAAAAATAATTCAAAGGTATTGTTTATTTTTGTAGGTAAAAAAAAAAGATACAGTGTGCTGCAGAAAGCAGAAATTTTGACCCAATCCGAAACAATAGGTGTCAAAAGAACAGCTGAAAAATACAACGTATCGGAGTCCTCAATTTTTCTATGGAAAAAAAATAAATTAAATTAAAAATTATACATTTTCTGTCTTTTTTTAAAAAAAAAATTACATACTTATGATAATTGACTAGCCAAACTCAAGACCGGTGACCAGTACTGACCAGTATAGCAAGAAATGCTCTGACCTGGAATCTCCAAGGATAAAAGAAAAAAAACATAAGATGCAACTTAAGTAATACCTGGACCGAGCACAAAAAATTGCCTAACAGGCTGTTGTCAGCTACTAATGTCTTAATTGGATGGCAAACATCTACGTCTACCTACAAATTGTGTTATTCAAGTTATTGTCATGCAACACTACCCATCATTTAGACTATTAAATCTAGTACTAGAAAAAAAACAACAGCAATCCAAAATAGACCTACAGAAACTATTCAAATTATATCATAGCAACACTGTACACTGTACTTTGTTATATTGTAATAAGTTTTGCAAAGAAAAAATAATACAAGAGCATAGCTTTATTTGATATCTTTTTTATATTGTAAGGAAACAACAAAACTCACAATATCCCTGATACAATGATAAAAGTTGGTAACTAACAAAAGATTATGAAAACAGTTTTACAAATATCTATCTACCTTATTTATTTATTAATTTTTAAATTGTTTGTAATAATCTACACAAATAAGATTTCTACATTTGTGTAGATACTATTTTAGTCTGAATATTAGGTAGCTTTTTCAATATCATAATTATTTCGGATTTTGTCCATTAAAAAAAAAGGCTGCAAATTAGGCAGAACCGACAAATATATAGGCTTATATATGTGTATGTTTATTTCAGTGAATGTTACAATATTGAAAGTACATGTAGGCCGGTTTCAATAAACAAACACACATATAAATATTTAAATAAATATATATATATATATATATATATATATATATATATATATATATATATATATATATATATATATTATATATAGCCTATATATATATGTATATATATATATATATATGATGTGAGTAGGATAACTGAAATCAGGTGTATAAAACGGGATGGATGGGATTAATAGGATTGATGAATTTTGCAATCTATATTTCGTATTCAGTATCCTTTATACTCATTCTTTTTTTTTTAATTCTATGAAGGGTAATCTTATGAAATGTCAAATTCATCCCCACTCCATAACGATTGTTATCCAACCCTACCAAAAACCAGTTTACAATATTACAACTGGTCAACCCCCCCCCCCCCCTCTCCCACCCCCTTTAGAGTGTCACCACACTTTCCTTTAGGCCCCTCTCCCCCAGCCCCTCTTGCGTTTCATTTAGCTGGGTTGTTTCCCCTTACAAGGGGATATAACAAAATAATATATTGCTTATTATTAAAAAATAACATGGTTACTGTTCTTTTTCTTTTTGTTGTTGTTGAATGTACTTCTTTATTAATCGTTATCTATTTTTTTCAAAATATCAACGAACCCGTTTCATGATGATGTATGTGGATCAAAGGGGTCGTCCATAAATGACGTTACACTCGTAGGAGAAGTCCGTAATTTTGTGACGGTGTGTGATGAGGGGGAGGGGGGGGGGGGTCAGATTGTGTGGCGTCACTTTTTGGCATTATAAAAAAGCAATGTTAGAAAACGAGTTTTAGCCGTTTTTTTCGCGTTTTAGAAAACGGTTTTAATAAATTGTAATATAAATTAATCGAAATACTCTATTTTGACAGAGTTCTGACAAGATTTTGGAAAAATATTGAAGTTTTAAGAAAAATTCAACAGCAATTTTGACGGGGGGGGGGGGGGGGGGGGGGTTGTATGCTGAGGTGTGACGTCATTTTAGGGGGGGTCTGGATTTTTGTGACGATGTGTGACGGAGGGGAGAGGGGGGGTGGGGTAAAAATCGTCCAAAAAAGCGTGACGTCATTTATGAATGACCCCCAAATATATTATTTTTTAACGTTTACAAACTTCTTTGAAATACGATATAATAGCGCTAAAATTAGGCCTTTAGTCAATAGCTACTTTTTAAAATTCAATTTTGTGACGATACTTACTTACTTACTCCCCCTCCCCCATCTCTTCGCACCATCATTAGAAATATTCGACCCCCACGCCTGATTGACGGCGTGGTTGGGCATGATTGCTAACTCAAAAGGCCCGTGTTCTGACCTTTGGTCAGGTGAAACTCGTTTGCTGGGTACTGGGTACAGCTAGGAGAAAACTGAATTAAAACACTGCTGCCTTGCAGATTTGTCTTAGAAGTTAAATGGAGACGGCTATGGAGACACATCTAGAAACAAAAGCAGGCTCAAATCGCAGTCAATTAGCCATACTTATATATTACCTAGGGGTCATCCATAAATGACGTCCCTTTTTTGACGATTTTTACCACACCCCTCCCCTCCATCACACATCGTCACAAAAAGCCAGACCCCCCCCCCCCCCCTACGTATTACTTATGTTGTAGTAAATCCCCTCAAGTAGTATGAATGAAGAAGAAGAAAAAGAAGAATTTAAACCAAATGGCCTAGAATTTATGTTTTATTTTTAAAATCTTAAAAATATCCTGATTATTACTGCATAGCTTAGCTTAATCATCATGGCTATTTGATAGAAAATTGAGAGTGACCATAAGCCTTTAGAGTTTAAAGGCAAACCTGGCATTATGAAAGTTAAGATAAGAATTTTTAAAAAGAAAACACGATTGTTAATGATTATGACAGTATTAGCTATTATTACCTAAAATACTAACAAAATAAATACAATTCTCCCTGATTCATGTTTAATAAAAAAAATGTAGTGATTTATAAGTCGATACACTTTTTTTCCGTTTAGATATTTAGTATGCTTTGAGCTATAATTAGAGTCTCAACGACAGAATCAACTGAGAAAAAATCTATAGCCTTATTCTATAGCGACACTGTCAGTTAGTTCTCAACGACATTGTCGTTGAGAATAGTGTAGGATCGGCTGAACTGTGGCACGCACCGGCACAGATTTTGACAGCAGATAACAACCGTTAACATCAGAGCCTACTGCATCAACATCCGTTTCATCCCCACACAGAAACGTGTTAGACAGAACGTAGCAGCTCCAGCAGATCGCAGCAGCGTTACAAAAGTCTGGCCAACCTTTGCCTCAACCACTGGAATTCGGCCATGGCATGCTTGGGAAAGTGGCCCGTAAGAGCTAGCTAAACTTCTTTCCGAAAGTCCCACAGCATGGACTATAAATAAACTTTAGTGCAGCTAATCTTTCGCCAAATAATAAGATGCAAATATTTATAACAGAAATCGAAACCTAACAAACGAATTGGTAAAGTGCTTGTATATATATATATATATATATATATATATATATATATATATATATATATATATATATATATATATATATATATATATATATTGTTCAATTTCCTCCTTTATTTAAATTTTTACTTGCCCCACCATGTTCCTGCACTTTTCTAATATAAATGTTGTATTAACTGATTTATTGTTCCTCTCTAATTAACATGATAGCTAGTGCTGAGCGGATTTCTCTTGGTGATCATTAACATTATTTACACATTAACATGCATCACATTAGACTAGACAATGCCTAATATTTCAATTGACTGAAGCGTCAGTATCTTTTCACCGATCGATCACGTAACAGACTTTACCACCCCACAACTCAAAAAGCATGACATGGAGCTGTGTATTAAAGGAATTGTGTTTGTGACTCCTTAAAACTATATAAACATTATAGCTTCGCCTGAATGTCTTTGTATGATGATAATAAACAGACGAAATGTCACTCGATATTTGTTGAACACCTTACAAATAAAATAATGCACATGGTGACATTTTGAACGGGGCTTGTGTTAATATGATGGAGATAATGTTTTGAAAAATCATACCTTGCGGCCAGAGCTGGAACCGGAACTGGAAATAATCCTCATCTGCCGTATACTCTACTGCCTCTACTCGTTGCCTGCCACCCCTGTGACCTACATTCTCAACCTCCGACCAATGGACGTACGCCTTCCCCAGGCATGTCATGCGCACTGCTGTTGAAGGAGACGAGACGTTATTTTATTATTGTCAACTAAACACACACAAGAAAATTTAATAGAAAACCAATCAGGGATTTTTCAAACATCTTACTCCGAAGGTTGGTGGTGGGGGGGGGGGTGCACTTGAAACTTTCCTGAGGGGAGGGTGCTTGATACTGATTAAAGTATATATTTTCTATATTAATTATTTATACTTTCCCCACATATCCCCATATTCCCCGGAGAGCAGCCTGAACGAAACACTGGAACCCTTTTTCACAGATAGTATACTATGATAATCCATCCAATGGATGTATTGTTACGTCACGAGTACCTGCAGCTGTTATAGGCTTGTATAAAGATACATGGACGGGGATAGTTGTTAAGAGATCTTTCTAGCATATATTTTTATCATACAAGAAAAAATCTATTGACATTTTACCGCTTTTTGTTACAACGTATAGCTATACGATGGCGGGTAGGGATGGCTAAAAATGTGTGATGTATCTCAAATACACAACACATAATTCCCATTTAAGTAACAAAGTTATTGAAGAACTAACTACCCTTTTTATCAATGAAGTAACAGCGGCCTATGTCCCAATAGGGACGACAGGCAAACCTAACCTAAACTAACCTGTGAAGTAAATATTGGTAACTTAAGCTCAATAAAACCCAGGTTAATAAGTTTATTGGACAGCGCGAGCAGAGATTCAAATTCTTCTGATGTAATCGTGCAAGTTTTAGTGATGTCACACAGGTAGTAAATCTTAAATCCAATTAGACAACTCGTCTCGGCGATTAACCGCTACACGCCGTGACAAACTCATTAAGTATTTGGCAGTCGAAAGTCACGAAAAAAAGGGAAAATAAATAATGAACGCTTTAAAATGAAAACTTACCCAGTGTGAAAGCCAGACTGACATAAATTTAAAGTCGCAAAAAAAGTTCGAATGTTAAACGCTATGGTGTATACTAGCC